CCATGTCTCGGTATTACTGGACCCCAAAACGTGTATTTTCGTTAAAATGTCGATATTGATTTTCCGCAGCATTACATAACTTTCCCTATACTACGTATATTACTCTGTACATACGTACGTATACAGGAAAGTAACTAGTGGTGCCACAGAATGGCACAGACTTGCCCGTATTAATTTTTCTATTTCCTTTGGTCTAGGCTAGCTATTCGGTCTTGCCACATTCTCTTGCCATCTGCCATTTCTCGTCACCCAAATACATTTTTTGAAATTTTCTTATTTTTTATGTTTTCTAATAGTAGAACGGAAATATTATTTTAAGATTTAAATTACTGTGAAACCTCGTTCTAAATGGCAATTTTCTTTGAAAAATTTGGACCCATGGAATTTTCTTTGAAAAACTTGTGTTACTGTGCTACTGGAAATTCGAAATTTGAAACTCTTTTTCACAGATTTTTTTTGTTTTTAAAAAACATAAGAAGTCATTTAACGCACACAAATTCACAAATACAATAATGTTTACAAATAGCCGGAAATGTGCATATTAACTTCGTGAGAGATCTTCCAAAAAATTACAGTTGTATAATTAAAAAAAAGAACAACGATAAAATACCCAAAAATGAACTTTACGTCATATAAAAGAGTGCATTTAACACTATCCGTTCGAAATGTTTGAAGAAAAAATTTGAAGCCATTTTTGAGAAAATGGCGTTTGAGCATTTCTGAAAATGCGTACATTTGAGCTAGTTTTCACAGAAAACTGTTGAGTTTTTGAGAACTTTATTTCACATTATTTAGAGCACATGTACGCTAAAATATGATAATGTAAAAAAATTGCCGCTAGTATAAATATAATAACTTTTGAGACAAGTCAAAAAATCAAATTTTTGTAATTAAAAAAACAAAAGAATAGAGCAATATGGCGTTTTTATCATCTTATGGAGTACATTATTTAGCACTATCCCTACAAAAAGATTTTTAAAAAATGTGGAGACTTTTTGAGAAATTCTTGTTTTTGTTATTATTAAAAATTGCCCATATTGCTCGCAATATTGCGATAAAACTACGAAACTTAAAAAAAATGTATATGACCTTAAAGAATTGACTATGAAGAACAAATTTTATTTGAAGGAAAAATATCTATTATTTTGTAGTTGTAAGAAAATGCCCGAAACATTTTAAAATTTTCGATAATTTAGAGTTAAACCTCAAAATGTCACCTACACCACCATTATAGTTGTTACTCTATTTTAAAACAAATTTAAAGAAAAAATGGAGCTTTTTTTGAGAAAAGTTTTAAAATATCCGGGGGCTTCATGCAATGTGCTCCCAAATTTTGAAGAATATTTTTCAAAATCTCAATGTTTCGACTCAAGCCACACGGACAAGGGGTTTCTTCAATTTGGAAAGAATCCTATGCATGGTTTGTCTTCTAGCGGCGTTCGCAGACGGACGGACAGATGGACGTTTTGAAGAACACAACTTTTTCGGTAACTTCAAAACGTGTATTTCCGTTGAAATCGTGAAATCGATTTTCCGCAGCATTACATAACTTTCCCTATACTACGTTTATTACTCCATATATACGTACGTATACGGGAAGGTAATTAATGGAGATACAGAATGGCACAGACTTTCCCACATTAGTTTTATACTATGGTCTCGGCTAGCTACTTGTACTTGCCACATACTCTGGCTGCTGCCATTAATCGCTGCCAGTAGTAAATTTTTTTCAAATTTTCTTAATGTTTCGGTTTCATAATAGCAGAATGGAATATATTATTTTAAGAATATTAAAGAGCAGCAAAACGCCGCCCTAAATGACAATTTTCACTATCCCTTCCCTTCAAAAAGTTTGAAGAAGGAATTTGGAGTCGTTTTTGAAAAAATGGCGTTTGAGCGTTTCTGAAAATGCGGAAGTGTGAGCTAGTTTTCGCAAAAATGGTTGTGTTCGAGAAATTTCATCTGACGTTATTTAAAGCACATGTCCTTAGAATATAAAAATGTGAAAAAATTACCACTAATGTAAATATTAACGACGCGAGAGAAAAGTAAAAAATAAATTTTGGTAATTTTTGAAAAAAAAGAATAGAGCAATATGAGTATGCTATCTTATAGAGTATATATAGCACTATCCCTACCAATAGTTTCAAGAAAAAAATTGAAGCCGTTTTGAGGAAAATATTGTTTTTGTAATGTTTTTAAAATTGCACATATTGCGTGCAATATTGCGTGAAGACTACTAAATTTTTTAAAAGATGTACATGACCTAAATGAAAAAACTCACTTTGGAGAACAAATTTTATTAGAAGGAAAACTTCCATCAAATGAATCCTAAAAGGTATTTTTTTGTTCATAATTTGTTATTCTTATTTAGGTCATGTACATTTTTTAAAAAATTTAGTAGATTTCACTCAATATTCCAAGCAATATATGCAACTTTAAAAACTAACAAAAACAACGATTTTTTCAAAAATGGCTCCAACTTTTTCTTTAAACTATTGGTAGGGATAGTACTAAATGAACTCAATAAGATGACATTAATGCCATATTGCTCTATTTTTTTGTTTTTCCAAAAAGTACAAAAAAAAAAAAGAATTTGACTTGTATCTCAAGTCATTAATATTTATACTAGCGGCAATTTGTTCACATTATATTTATGAGTTCATGTGTTTTAAATAATGCCAAATAAAGTTTTTCCTCAACAGTTCTCTTCGAAAGGTAGCTCAAAATTCCCCATTTTCAGAAACGCTCAACACGATTTTTTTTAAAACGGCTCCAATTTTTTTCTTCGAACTTTTCAAACGAAAAGTGTTATTGGACTCCTTATTATGACGTAAAGTTCATTTCAGGGAATTTTTTGATTTTTCGGAAAGTACACAAATTTAATTTATTTTAAAGATCGACAAGCCGTTAACATGCACATTTCCAGCGATTGGCAAACAATATTGTATATGTGATGTATACAGCTTAAAATGACTTCAGTTTTTTCAGATAAAGTTTTTCGAAAACTCAAAAGTTTTCTGTGAAAAATATCAAATTTCGAATTTACAGTATGGCTTAAACGCCATTTACTTAAAAACGTATCCAAATTTTTCAAAGAAAATTGCCATTTAAGTCCAGGTTTTAGTATTCTTTAATATCTTTAAGTAATATTTCCGTTCTACTACTAGAAAACCCAAAAATTAAGAATAAAAAAAAAATTGGTCGGCGTTAGATGGCAGTTGGCAAGAGTATCTGTCACGTTTGTACAACTATGCGAGACCAAAGGAAATAGAAATCTAATATGGGAAAATCTGTGCCATTCTCTAGCACCACTAGTTAACTAATGTTTTTATTGGGATCAATGTTGATTACATAAGCTCAAATTTATTATAATTTCAATGTGTTGCCAATAACCCCTTTTTAATTTTACCATCTGCGTGCCAAAAAATCTAGCACTTCTAATATTATAAACATTTTTTTATTCATCTCTAATTTCTTGAGAATTTGTTTGTACCTAAACAATAAGGTACATTTTTCGCGAATGCATAGTTTTAATATTGAAGAATCAAACTTTCTCATATATCCCTTATTACAGTGGTAACATCTACTGTTTTTAAAATGTAGTAAATCTTTACATTTTATAAAACGTGGTTTAACACTAAATTACCTTTTACACTAAATTAAAAACTCTAAATGTGCTTCCGTAGTCTCACACTTTCTGCTAACCCTGGTGTATTTCGTAAGATATCTTCTGACAAAACGTTGCTGGCGTTGGAAGAATCCACGTTGTTCATGATTTGGAAGAGTCGAGTTCATGGCCGGCATGTTCTTGAATATTGTCTGATAAAGGTGATATTGCACGTTACGGGACCTTGTGATTTTATATGCACGTTACGGAACCTTATGCTTTTAATAAACGTATAAAAGCACGGAGAATATTACATAGAACAGATCTAAAGCAAATTCGTAACAAGGATCAAGGATCATGATAAAGACGAACAAGAAATTTGGAGAATCTTTCAAATATTAGAGAATTCCTTCAGAATTCGGCCACGACTCATAAGATAAAAATAGGTAGCAACCTCCCTATCGCCCTATCATTTAACGTTTAGTCAGAAATGGAAGTTGACTGATACAATCAACAATATAATGTACTCCACTAATTTTTGAAGTTCTAATTCTAATCTTCTATCAGTGAAGACTGAGTATGTTGATAAATTATTTTTTAATGATGTGAATGGTTATTTACGTAATCCTATATAACAAAAATTGTTATTTATCAACATTATGCCTCATAATCTTAATTTGAAATCACTCTACTTACAACGTAATTAGGTAAGCTTCCTAATCCGAATGCTTTCTGCTTGTATAATTTTCATGTGATCTTCACGTTTAAAAAAATTGTGATTTTATTAATTCAGATTTTAATTATTGTTTTTTTAAAAAATTGTTTAGCTTGTCATTATTTACCTGATGATGGAGACACAAAATAATGCTCCGAAATGTAATTTCAAGACTCGTGGATTAAACTATGTTTATGATCTGTTAATTTTATTACAAATGAACTGATTGACTATTATAAAGTGGAACTTGATTAACGAAAAGATAAAGTATAAAAACTCAATATTTTTAGTTTAAATATAAATTAGTTTAGTATTCAGATTATAATAAGTTTTGATATTATTCTTACAATTTTGCTTTTTTTATTTATCTTTTGAAGTTAACATAAAATATAAATGTAAACATAAATGTTTAAAATCACTGTAAGAAATCTATATAATATACGTTCGCTATTTCAAATACTTTGCTCAACAGGTAACTGCATTTTTCATGTTTTGTTCACAGCTTCGAGAAGTCGGAGGACGGGTTTGGAGCGGTTGGATCCTGTGGAAACACGAGAGACATTGAGACACGTTCCGACTTCCTTCAAATGGAGAAATTTCTACAAAACATCCAGAACGTAGTGGAGGAACGATTTCAAACAATGGTGTCGAAAATAGAGGGGCGTCTCTCCTAAGAGCAAGGCCGCACGAGCAAGTTGGAGATATCTGTCGGGCGAGCACTGGATGACGTGTTGCCCAAAGTGGAGGAGCTGCTGGCCAGACACCTCTCACCTCAGCCCTTCCGCGAAGCGGCTCTTGGTCACGTGGCTCCCGCTGTCGCGTCCGCCGCCCCCAACTCAACAGCACCAACCAACGCCGACTCACCAGTCGGGATGCCTCAACAAAATCTTCAGCATGGTCTACTTGCTGGGGGAGGCAGAGCTTTGCCACCAGCGAATGCTTCAGCCAGCACCAAACCGACTGAGTGCGCTCTCGTTACTGATGGAGGAGGGGCGACGGTTCCCCCCGCCCCATCCAGCGAGGGCGCTGCGCCCGCCTCCAGGCCCTGGGCACCGCCTCCGCCGGCAGCTTCCGGCGCGACCAACCCTCCGGCGTCGCTGCACGAGGCGGCGGAACGAGGAGATGCGGTGGCGGTGCAGCGCTTTCTCGCCGACAGAGCTCCGGTCGACGCGCGGGACAAAGACGGCAACACCGCGCTGCACATCGCCGCAAGCAGCGGGCGCACAGAGGTCGTCGACATCCTCATCGCAAAAGGGGCTGTCGTGAACAGACTTGGCTTCGGATTGCGAACTCCGCTTCACTGTGCAGCCGCTAAAGGACATGAGACGATCGTGACGCGCTTGGTGACCGCCGGAGCTAAACTTGATTCTCGAGACGCAGATGGCGCTACCTCCGCCGCCCTGGCTGCTCAGGGAGGTCACCCGGAGGTTGTGCTTTGGCTGTTGGACCGGGGCACGCCAGTGGAGGCTGCCGACAAGGAAGGGAGGACGCGTCTTATGTATGCGGTCGAAGGAGGAAACTTACCATTAGTTACATATCTTTTGGAGAAAGGAGCGAACCTCATTGCAGTTAACAAGAAAGGAGAGACTTCTATTTTCATGGCGGTTAAGGTGCACGACGGACAAATAGTAAAGTTTTTGTTGGAAAGGGATGCGTCACCATTTCAAGCAGACAAGAGTAATGAGTCAACTTTGCTGTTTGGTTCCAAGAAGGGATATGGTGATGTGATTGGGGAAAGGTTGAAAGTGGCAGCCACAGGGATTACAAATCTTTTGGGGCGCTGCCTTTGTGCGGCTGGCAGTGCGGACGTGGTGTGGAGCTTCACAGACGAGGCCCATAACTTGGTGCTGGGGCCAGCGGGGGGAGAAGCGCTGGTGGAGGCCGCTAGAGACGGGCGCCTGGAAGTGGTGGAGGCTCTGCTTCGAGTAGGCGCGGGCGCGAAGGAATCGCGTGAAGAGGCGCTGCTGGCGGCCGCCAAGAAAGGACACACATACTGCGTCGTTGCGCTGTTGGACACTAGAGTCGACGTCAATGCGCGAGACATTAAAACGAAGCTCACGGCACTCTATCTTGCAGCTATGAATGGTCACGCCGAATGCATGGAGGTATTGTTGCAGAGGGGAGCTAAGAAGAATCAGTTAACGGAAGAAGAGCTGGTGAACGCAGCGCGAGGGGGACGCCTTGATGTACTGAAGATTATTCTTCGAGTAGGCGCGGGCGCGAAGAAGTCGCGTGAAGATGCGCTGCGGGCGGCCGCAGGAGGAGGACACAGAAATTGTATGGTTGCGCTGTTGGACGCTGGAGTCGACGTCAATGCGAGATCCAACGACAACTGGACGGCGCTGCATTACGCGGCTTGTAGTGGGCACGCCGAATGCGTAAAGGAGCTGTTGCAGAGAGGAGCGAAGAAGGAACTAAGGGATAGTTGGCGGAAAACAGCACTTAATTATGCTAAAAGTAATAATAAAGCAGCATGTATTGACATTCTTCTAAACTAGAAACTTTTACATCTTTGCGAAATAGTTTTCTTTCATATACATTTTTTTCTGTTACGTTAGAGTGAATGACAACAGACCTTTTTACAGAAGTGAGATTTTGGAGTAGGCGACTGTAGTGAACAGTATCATTGAATAGGAGAGACAGAGAGAAAAGCTAAGAGTAGGTTTTCCTTATAAATTCACTTCACATAAATTCAATTCTCATAAAAGACTTCACTGGAACACACCCGGAAACATAGTCACCTACACTAACAAACTCCTCAAAACTAACTCCAGAAACGTCTTGTAGGATATTCCATTCGTCAGGTGAAGTATCGTTACCATCTAAGGGTACGTTTATCTTGGAGCAGCGATAAACGATAAGAGCAGAGCTGCGAGCGAAGCAACGAGAACGTCCACATGGAAATAAATGGAGGTGTTCATGTTGGCAGCGCGCTGATTACGGGATCAGCGCTGCGACCAGCGATAAGAGCGGCGAAAACCCTTTGGTAGGTTTTCGCTGCTAGTATCGTTGTTCCGCGCTGTTCACAGTGACACACTTCAGGTGTTGTAAGTGTCGAATAAAATTATTGCTGAGAAATTTATTATTTGTGTTTTTGTTAGGAGTCAATGTGGGACAAACGGGACATAATTCACTGCAATATGTTCGTTTTAGACAAATTGTGGGCCGCCTAAATTAGTACAACACGTAAGTTTTAGAGGTTATGTTACATTCGTTTTTCAATGAACAACAAAAATACAAATAATTATGGGATATCTGTCATGTTTATTGTTGTATTGTGTTGTGGGACACTAAATGTTAATTTAAGTATCTCATCTCGCAGCGATAATGTATTATTCCGACTCATTTTTGTAATGTCGATACTCTAAATGTACCCCCATTATTTTGTTTGCCATAACTACCCTCTCCATTTATTAATGAATTTGTAATTTGCATACACGACACCTTATAAAACTAGAAAAGAATTTCTTGTAGTTGTGAAACATTCACTCAGATTGATTGGGATAATTTATTCGTATGTGCTTGCTATCTATGGCACCTTCACAATGTGGATGCAGTTCAAGGAGGCATAATTTATTACAGAAATTGTAAAATGACTTTATTTTTTAAATGTTATTAAAAATTGTGGATATTTTATCAATGAATAAACTGAAGAACAATAGAAGATAAATGAAATGCTATAAACAGATTTTTTTAACTAGAAAATTTATTGAAATATAATTATTTACATTATTGGTTTTGATAGTGCAAATCATATCACATTTCCTTGAACAACATTTAAATTACACGTTTGTAATTAAATCAAAATTGAAGTGATTGGGATTAGATAACCCCATGCCACTATTTGGCATAATAATTGAGGTGATACACTCTATACAACCCTTAGCCTTCCAATTTATTACTATTTATGATTTAAGAAACATTTTAAAATAAATCTAGCTTACCAATTACCTTTATCACTTTCCTAATAGTCTGTTTTCTTTGAAATTTAGTTCAGTTTCTACTTAAGAATTCAAAATTTTAAATTTACAATAGTTTTTGAAAAACACACAATCATTTCAGCAGTCTTCCATATAAATCAAATTTCATAAAAAAAACTTAAAAAACAATTGGGAGAGAGTGTTATATTGTTCAGTCAACATTAACTGAGGACACCTAAAAAAATAATCTTTTGGAAATGATTTTGAACATTTGAAGGTTTTTTGTATGTGTAGTATTCAGACTTTATATTCAGTTAAATTAAACACCAACATACCACCACAATATAGGCTCGTTACAAGCACAATAGGAAACATAATACTGAGAATTCAATTAAGATTGATAAAGTTAACACCAAAATTATTGTCTTAGACAATATTAAAATGTGAAGAATTCTTTCTCATGTTTAAAGAAAATAATAATTTGAAGTAAATTTTTTGAATTTTCCTTTTACTACATGATGTATATTGCATAACATACAATTATTTATATCACAAAAGAAACAAAAATAAGACAAAAATCTTACTTCAAATTAATTATTTTCTTTCAATAAAAAATGATACTGATTCAATAAAAAATGATAATGATTCTTCTAAATACTGAAAATACGAGGCCTGTCTAAAAAGTATCCGACCTTTGGCCAGAAAAAAATATTTCGAATACCTGACAGAATTGGGACCCTAATTCCCTTCAAAGTAGGCCCCTTGTGCTTCCACAAACGTAGCCCACCGATACTTCCACTGCTGGAAACACCTCTGGAAGTCTTCCTTTGAAATGATGTTAAGCTCCGTCGTCGCGTTCCGCATTATTTCTTCTCTACTCTCAAAACGGAATCCTTTCAGTGGCGTCTTCAATTTTGGAAACAACCAGAAGTTTCAAGGAGCCAGGTCTGGAGAGTAGGGAGGTTGGCGAACGATTGTGATTCCATGTTTGGTTAAGAAAGTGTGGATCAATTGGGATTAATGTGCAGGGGCGTTGTCATGATGCAAGTGCCAGTTCTTCGCCGTCCATGTCTGGTCTTTTGCCGAACTGCGTCACGGAGTCGCCGGAGAACATCTTGATAGTACTCCTTTGGCACTGTTTGTCCTTCCGGTGCGTGTTCGTGATGCACGATTCCACAGGCATCGAAGAAAACAGTCAGCATCACCTTGATTTTGCTTCGCACCTGCCGCGCTTTCTTCGGCCTTGGAGAATCGGGATGCTTCTATTGAGACGACTGTCTTTTTGTTTCTGGGTCGTACCCGTACACCCATGACTCATCTCCAGTTATCATGGTGTTCAGAAACCCAGGATCATTGTTGGCGGTGTCCAGAAGGTCGTGTCCTTTTTGTTTCGGAGACAACAACTTGGGTATGAATTTAGCAGCCACTCGTTTAATGTTCAAATCTTCACGCAAAATTGCATGTGCAGACTCTTTACTCACTCCAACCTCTTCTGCAATCTCCCGCATTGTCAAACGGCGATCTGCCATCACCAAATTTCGCACCCTCTCAACAGCTGCATTCCGAGCAGATTGGGGCGTGCCGCTCACTCTCGGCTGATGTGCGGCCATCTTTGAATCGGTTGAACCACTGCTTAATTTGTGTTACACCCATCGCATCTTCTCCAAACACCTGCTGTATCTTACGAATTGTTTGGCTTTGAGAATCACCAAGCTTTTGACAGAATTTGATGCAGTATCTTTGCTCAATTCGTTCATTCATCTTGCGAGGAAACTAAATCCGACGAACACTACGAGCAGCACCTTACTTAGCGACCACCAGCCAGCGACCACCAGCCACCACCAGCTTAGCGCCCACCGACTGGCCCACGAAAACGCGGTGAAAAAATTCAAGCATGCGCATTAAGTTTCCTCCTTCCACCATGCACAGTGGCGCCGCCTTAGAAGCACTACTTTGCGCGGGAAAAATTAAGGTCGGATTCTTTTTAGACAGGCCTCGTATACCAAACTGAAAACTGTGTTAACAGATGAAATTTGACAGACTAATGGGACTTTGAATAATAGAAATTGACAGAATAATCGAGCACTGCACATATTTGAAATATTCTGTACATAGTCACTTTTTTAACACAATTTCACATTTCACACACTTGTCTTCACTTTTTATTTTTCATAATTCGGACAAAACATTCTTAATTTTGGAGATCCACATAGGCCTATATTGCACAATAGATTTCCTTTCCTCCATACAAGACCCTATTCCAAAATTTTTCTTAAACACTCATTCACATACTTCCAAATTCTTTCATCAAGAGGCTAGGCTTCTCCCTGTAAAAATAAAGGAAATGGCCATTGAGTTTTTCAAATGTAATCAATCACTAACCACAACACAAAATATTATGCTTATAATATATACAAATCTGCTTCTCTTTTATAGTCAATATAAATCTGCTTACAAGTAAGCCACTTTTAATTTTCAGTAAACACTAATTTGCATAAAGTTAGATTGTATAATAATTTTTGTATTGGTATAATAAATATTTTCAAAATTCACATTATCTAAAATAATTTTCAAGAAAAAAATTAAGGACTGATTCAATGACTGTTGTTTATAGTGATTATTCTTATGACATGTTCGAAGCAACCCAACTTAATAATGATTGTAGACAAGGCAGCTTACCTCTATAATCATCGCCACAGCCAGGATATCAAACTGAGCAATTCTTACTTCTCTTCCTTATTATTTTTTACTTCTCTCACTTCCTACAATTCTCCTCCTTAGCACATTCATTGAAGAGCAGCGCGAATTGTAGCTCTCACAAGTCGCTTACGGTAAGACCTCTTCGTAACAGAAATAATACATTGATCCAAAGACAGAAAGCGACTTGTTGCATTTGAAGGGGGGAGTGAACCTTTTCGTTGGTTAAGTTTAGATCGTGTATGACCTGCCCTATGCCATAATAGTCATCTGGTGGCTCAGAGCGAAGTCTCTCGCCTTTCACTAAAGAAGCCCCGGGCTCGATTCCCGTCAAATCCCGAACCATCTCGTGTGAAATGTGTTGCAACGATCCCAGTTTCGCTGTTTCCCAAGGTCTTCTCCAATTCTTGTGAAGTGTCCTAAACATTCTCCCAATACTAATTCCTTCCCAATTCTGGTCGCTGGGTAGTAACGCAGGATCTCGTAGG